ATTAGTCTCAACATATTGTATTATTTTGATATTAATGCTTGATTAGAGACATTTTAAGAAGAGTAGATGGTAAGATCTCATGATTAAGTCATTTACTTGATATCATACAAAGTCATATTTATTATTCTAAGGACATGATTATATTCTTACAAAAAGAAATAAGTATGAGATCTCAATTTATTAAAATAGATAATCGTGATATAAATGATATGTTTATAACATAAAAACTCTTAGTTGAATATGACGTGACATCTAATGATATACCTTTATTTACTATACTAGCAATCTAAACACCATTTGTCTTAACAAATATCTTCAAGTGTCACATTAAATGTTAGTTAGATATGACACATGTTATTTAATAATGATGTGGTAATGTAACATGGCTTGAAATTCATTGTTTTCCTTTAAAATTGTCAATTTGGCCTTCAAAAATTTTTTATTCTCATAATTTGTTGATGTGATCATCAAAAAATTCTTAATCAATCAAATTGATCTCTACAAAATTCCTAATCAATAAAATTAATTTTTAAAGAATCTCTAATTAATTAAATTAGTCCTTAAAAAATCTTTAATAATTCAAGATTTATATATGAGATAATCTAGTTTAAAGTTTCTCAAGATTGTTACAACTCAAAGAAATAAAGAAGAATAATATACCAAGGTTCAAAAAGATATTTTATACCACATTATGATTTATGATTAACATCAATACAATAAGTGTGCAAAAAAGTTAATTTTGTTACATATTAAAGTTTGGACACATAAGGAGTAATAATATGTTGTTAGTAACATAACTAATCATAAGCTTTTAAGGCTATATAAAGACAAGCTTTTTCGTGTGTGCTTTTTATATGTTGAAAATTTTGATTTCTTATAAATATGATTTTGTGTCATGAATAAAAAAAATAATAATAACATTTTAATTTCTTAATTGATCTTGTTAACTCATTTTAAATAAGTTGATATTTAATTTGACTTGAAATGACAAAGTCTTAAACTAACAATATTTATTTAGTGCTTTTTGTTTACAAATTTTAAAATAATATTTGATTTTTAAAAGTTAAAAATAAAAAAATGGTTTGACTTATCAATTTTGTGAAAACTAATTTTAAAATTGGTTGCTATATTTTAGTTTGAACTAAAAAATTGAAACAGTTCTTGACTATTTTTCTTTTTACTTGTTTTCTTTTCTCAAAATTAATTAAAATAGAGAAAAATTTATTTTAATATATTTCACTCTTTAGCATGACCTCATTGGTGACATCTACTTCATTCTTTTTTTCTCTGTCCCTAACACTTCCACCTCAACCATATATCTTTGTTTCCATGACTTTGTGATCAACACTTCTATGTCTTTTTTCACTTTTCTACTTCAACTATATGTAGTCATAAGAGGAAGAAGATAGAAAGACAAATGATTCTGTTGTGGCAATTAATTTATTTTATGATTTTGAAAAAAATATTTGCCTTCTTGGATTAATCTTTTGTTTTTGGTGAAATAGCAAGTATAGTTAGTAGTGTCACTTTTAGAGAGTGAATATCCAAACAAGTTTTCTTTTTTTAATTTCCTTCTTAGAAAGAAGTTTTCAAAACTACTTTAAAATTTTTTTAGAAACTAAAGAGTAAAAGTTGAATCAAACAAGTTTTAAATATTTGATCATTTTCTATTTTAATTTTTAAGTTATCTTTTTTTTTTTATATTAGTTTAACTACTTTTTTTTTTTTACTACTTATCAGCATGACTAAACATCCAAAAATACAACAAATTAACATATAGCAATAGGAGTTCAAATGTTAACAACATCGAAAAACATAAATAAGGATTCAAAGAATTAAGATTTTAATTTGCACAAATATAAAGTAAAAAATCTTTAAGGTCTATTCTAACCAACTTATGAGCACATGGATTTTAGCCAATTTTATCTACTAGACAAATTTAATAATAAATGTGCACTTTTCTAAACATTTAAAACTAAAAGAAAAATATCTTTAAAGTCACTTTCAATCTAAATATTTCAAATTTAATAATAAATATGCACTTTTCTAAACATTTAAAACTAAAGGAAAAATATCTTTAAAGTTACTCTCAATCCAAATATTTCAAATAAATCAATTTGATTTCAAAATAAATGTTCCAAAGTTGGACAGTAAATTACTCATAACATTAATAATAAATTAGTCATAAAATACATACATAAATTGTTAAAATCTCAACCATTAATTAAAATGTCAATCATCATAACTATACTTTAAGTACATTATCTCACTTTTTAAAAAATAAATCTAAATAAAATGTCATGATATTATAACTATAAACAAAGACTTACTTGATAATAAAGCGAGAATTTATAGACTTAAAATCTCTATAAAAAAAAAAGATATAGCAAAATTTATAGACACTATACATTTAGTTAACTTTTAAAATTTTATTATTAGTGAACAATTGTATAAAAATTAGTATGAATGGATATGGAAAGATATATGTCTTTCAGGTAACTTGCTCTTCACCTTAATTTTCTCCTACCAACAAAGAAATATATATATATATATATATATATATATATATATATTATCATTTGTAGATTGAAATTTATCACTGTACCTTCTTTTTCTCGCTTATTTTAAATTAGGCTTAAATATATTTTTAATTTTTATACTTTTGATACTTTAGTTTTGTTAAAAAATTTATATATTCAGCATATTTGATCTCATATGACTATTAAATAATAATATGATTAAATAAAATACCAGTAGTGAGATAAATATTAAAAAAAAAAGGTTTGTAAAAGTATAAGGACTAAAAATAAAAAAAAGCTAAAGAAATTAAAGTATAAAACTAAACAAATATATATGGATAAAATAATATTTGACTTTTTAACTATTTTAAACTGCATAGCTCATTAATATCCAATCATATAGTTCTGAATTTTTTTTTCAATCATAGATTTATTTGTTTATTTATTAATTTTTAATATTTATTACTTCGGTAAAAATTTTCAAGACACCAATTTTTCCTGGTCAACTGGGAACATATTTAGATCTTAAAATGATTTTATGAATTTGCTGAGATTTCACAAAACATTTTTTTCCTTTTCTTTTTATTTTTTAAAAAGTCAGGATTTGCATTAAAATATAGTTTAATGGAAGCCGTGAATTATTTCTCCCATAAACTTAAGCAATAGAATACAGACATATAAATGATTTTATTAAATATCTAACGTGACCCTTCAGAAAGGTTCTTTTGAATTTAAAGCTTGCATAATGAATAAAAAAAAACCCACCTTCGTTATACCTAAATCAATCTTTTTTAATTTAGAAAAAATGAGAATTATAAAAGATTTAAACCACTTGATTTTAAAAGCTTAAATTATAAGTTAAAGGTAAAGGAGACACGATCTCATTACATTTCAACAATAAATTCATAAAGGAAAAAAGCTTAAATTATTATAACTGTGTTTCGAGTTCAAGTTAAGTTTGTTTTCTGTGCCCATAGTATAGTTTAATATACAAAGTAAACGGATATCTACTATCTTACTACACACCTTCCATTCATCTAGAATAGAGATTTGGTAATATTGCCTTGTGCTTTGGTACCTAAAACCTTGATTCTCTTCGTATCCTACGAATACATGATTCAGATGAGTGTTTGTTTGCCTAAAGTGGTTTAAATGTAAGTGTCCACTACCTCGGCAAGCACACCAATTTATGGACAGTACCAAACTCATTGACCGGCTCTCCCTTAATATACAGTGTTAATAGCACTCAAAATCAAGTTCAAGGCTGCAGCAGACAACATTGAATAATAAATATACAGTAATAGTTTGGATTTGGTTAAAGAAAAAATTTAGGTGCAGTATTTTAATTTCTGTTTACCAATTAAAATTTGAGTTTCTTGTACATTGGTTACGAAGTATTGGTAATGTTAAAAGAAAGGTACTTTTCTTGAAACTTTAAAACTTTTATGATTGACTAGAAAACATGGATATATAGTGGATAATTTTAGGCAAATCCTCTTTTAATTCTCAATGTTTAACTAAAACTTTGACTTGGTATCATTTTCATAGTCTTAAATATATACACAAATGATACATTTTCTTAAATGCCATCGCATCACTAAGCTTGACCCCATTTAAATTATTAATCATGGATGTTGATATGAACCTACATAGCATATTAAAATCTCATTATATATCCAACTTGGGACTATATTAAATATTTAACAGGCATCAATTGTTTAATTATAGTTTTGGGGTCAATAGACTGAACATACAAATCTGACCAATATTTCTTATCAATTACAAACACGCAAGTTATGCGCGTCTATTGTGTTTCCCAGAACATGAGATATAACGCAATAAGACAAACTAGAAAGCAAGAAATTGACAACATCTTAATTTCAAAACAAATTGACAGCCGTACAACCTAAACCACTAAGGTCACCGACTCACAGCGCCTGCTAGTCTATCCTTTATAATTTTATTATTGATTTTTCAGCAATATATATATATATATATATATATAGAGAGAGAGAGAGAGAGAGGTTGTATGGTAATAATAAGTAAAAATTGTACAAAAAATTATTTAATCAATTGTCAAAATATAGAAATTTCATGACTGAAGCAAAACAAGTTAAAAATATAACTCGATTCGATATCTCATTTTACTTAATGCAATGCGCAAAATTTTGATATGTTAGTGGCAATTGTAGTTGTCAAAATAAGTCATAATTCACGAGTCAACTTAACTCACCCTAGATTAAGAGTGAATCAGGTTGAATAAAATAGATTCAGAAGCTTTTTGAGTTATTTTTTTACCTAGGTCACGTAACTCACATGTTAGACAAGCCAACCTCTATTGAGTCAGGTCATTCAGGAGTTGTTTTAATCTTTTTAAGAGTTATCATAATTTATTTTTGTGACATATTCTTTTCTTAAATTATTTTAAATTTTTATATATTTTCTTTATTTTTATTTTATAATTTTTTCTATTTATTTTTAATTTAGTGAGCCAAACTGCAAACTAGCCAACCAAATTGGTGGGTTGAACCTGACTTACATTTTCTTAACCACTACAAAGAAAGTTGAGATAGGTTGGCTCACTTTTGAGTCAATTCATGATGGGCTAACTTGAATGAGGTGAGTTGCCTCACTTTAACCCCCTTTTACTTAAAAATCCAATCTTAAAAAAATGGCAAATGTGATTTTCGGAAAACAAATCCCGTTTAAGTTGTACAAGCACACATCCAATTATGCTTTGAAAAATACTATAACACAATAAATACACTAATTTTATCATAGGCTTACTTCTTGCTCTTATACTTTCCTAATTTAATAAATCTTAACATTTAATAAAAATGTTCTGAAATATTATGTTAAAAGAAATGTTCTTGAACGTTCCTCCAATGCTTTAAAGCCCCCAACACTAGAGCATTAACGGCCATTGAGCAGAAGAACCAAAATTTTTCTTTCTGACAACCGTTGGAAAGCCAATTGCCCATTCAAATTTGTTTTATTTTATTTTACCCTTTGCAGTGGTTTGTATCTGAACCAAAAAACAATGGATGGCGTTAAACTTCTAAATGTGACAGAAGGTACAACACATTCAGTAATATTGTTCAGGATCAACCACATCATAAAAATAACATTATTGAGTAAAAGTTATGAATAAATAAGAGGAAGACATGATAGAATTACTATGCTAAAGTATTTTACAATTAGAATGATGCAAGATCTTTTCTTGCACCAGCTAGGAACTCTGTTAAACGTATACGCATTATATATCAAAACTACACAGAAAATAGCTCGTGTGGCACCTGATACAGCATCACCAACAAAATGAGAAGAAACTTCACCATTTAGATACCAAAATTGCAGGCCTGAACGAACTCCAACTCATAGTCAACATACTTTGTCCAAAGTGGCTTGAATTGAGTCATTGCAATGTCAAGCCATGGTTTCATGTTGCCATTGAAGTGCACCACTGCAGCATTGTTAATCTCGTCCATGCTGATGCTTGGGTTATAGCCAAGTCCCAGAACATGCCATGACTTATCCAGTGGCTTTGTTGTTGAGTAATATGTGATTAGCCCCGGTGGCAATGTCCCTAATTTCCATAATGTTCGGTTCTCATTCTGCAGCCACATGAGCACATCGTGTTAAACATGAAATGCTACACATTCAACTAAAATAGAAAGATTGGAAAGGGAATAATTTGATGGGAATGAGACCTTAACATACATGGGAAATTATTTCTATCCTAGCTTCTGAATATGCAGCCTCTAGCATCACTGCTAGCAATGCAATGATTAAAATCAAATTGAATTTAGTAGTCTCAAATGGTATTAATGACAATCTAAAAGCTATGGTTGTGTGCTATAGTACTAGTTGCTGTTTAAGAATGCAACAAAACAAAATAAAATGGAACAAAATTGCAGTGGTAAATTAATACAAGATTGAAAAGATGTCTTACCAGATTCTGCCAGTAATGATACTCTTCCGTGCATTTTTCCCTTCTCCAAGCATCCAAATCAAAGAAATTCATTCCATAAGCCCATGCACAAGCCTTTGGATTAAATTTTGCTTTAATCAAGGGATGCGAGAAATTCATGTACTGTGCATATCTATGGAATGACCCAAAACATGTTTCTACAGCTCCATTCACCTTGCCATCCATATCAATCTTCCATAATCCAGTAAGGTCCTTCTGAACTACTATGTCATCATCCAAAAACAAAATCTTATGCAGTTTTGGATACATTTCTGGCAAGTAGAATCTCAAATGGTTCAATATTGACAAATATTTGGGGTTCCTAAACTTCATATTTGTTGTGTCCTTTGTAGCATTCTCAAGCTTATTCTCAAAGTAAAATCTCTGCAGGTTAGCAGACTCCAACTGTCGAAGGACAGGCACATAAGAGGAATTCAGGAATTTGTAATCCTCCACCGCCTTAACCTCAATGTGGGCACCATTATAATTCTTCAACTTAAACATAACTTGCATTGCTCCAAGATTCATCTTATCAGTCACAACATGAAACACATGCTTCCACGGTTCCTTCGCATTTTTTGTTGCTGAATTGACCACAACAGACGCTGCAACGACATTATCTGAGAACAATGCATAGTGGTACAGATTAGGATCTTCAACTTCTGGAGGAGTAGGCTTCCCCTCATCCGAATACTTCCCGGGATGAGCAATCCGCTCCTCCATCAACCTCATTGAGAGACAATGCAAGCTCTTTGGAATCGACTTGGCAGCAATGAGGCTGGAGAAAGCGCCCTGCTTCTTTGCTTTAGTTAACTGCTCATTCACAGAAAAGATTGTATCCTTCAACTTCTGAATCTTGAGCTGGTTATCAAAGGACTCCTTGGCTTCGCTGATCACCTGGCGAGTCGTCTTAATGCGCTCCTTCACTTCCTTCTCCAATTGGCGAAGCACCAATTCATCAACAGCAGATGCATCATTGCTGAAGAGAGTCCTATATTGAGGCTTGTTCATTAGATCCGAGAAGTTTCGCGACAGTTCCGCGAAAACCCTAACAAGCTTGGAGTTCTCAAGCTTGAGCTTCCTTGCGTAGGAAGCATACACAAGAGCCAAAGAGCGATGATCATCAGCTTGCTTTCGGATCTGGTCCAACCGAGGCTTAAGGGGATCCGTTTTCAGAGCCAGAACGGATCTTCTTATTGAATCAAATCCATGTGCAACATCACCATCAGAACCCTGTTCAAAAGCACAATAACAGGTTAATAGTCTACCTTCATCAAATATTTTCCCTTTCCCAGAAATGAAAACAGTTTAAAAGGAAAAAAAAAATAAAATTTCCTTCTAGTAGTGACATTTCCATTGAAAATTACCCAGACAACAAAAACAAATCAAATCAAAACAAACCCAGTTTGCTTTCGAAGAAAATTGACACATATAAAGTCTAGTTCGCCAGCACAACAACGAACTAATTTAGCCACAACAAATCTCTGTGCTTTCCCAGAATAGAAACAGAAATACGAACTTTTCATTTCTAGTAACATTGCCATGTTTGTTTCTCCCGAGAAAAATTAACAGGTATCAAACCCTCACTGGATCCGGAGAGAATCGGATCTCGACCCATTTGCATCCAGACAATAAGATCTAAATCTAACCCCCACCCCCACCATTTTTTTCTGCGAATTAAACTAACCCAGAAACCAAAAAGCTAGATATCAAGAACTTGATTTGAACGAAAAAGAAGCCGTTTGTTTCCCGGGAAATTTCACGAAAAAGAAAACAAAACAAAGAAGGGGGGAGGAAAATAAATAAAGGGGAGTGAAAATGGAAGCTTACCACCACGTGGGGTTGTTGATGGGAATGGGTAGTGACGAGAAAAGAGAAAGTGAAGAAAATACAGAGAGCGACGGAGATAGCAGAAGCGAAGAGTGTGAAGGTTCGGATCCTGAAACGTGGAACCCGAGGATTCACCATTTTGGTGTGAGAATCAGAGAATGATGTTTGATTGATTCAGAAGCAGCAGCACTCACTCACTCCCTCACTCAGCTCTCATAATCATGAACTCAGATTTTCTCTTTCACTTCCTTCTTCGCAAAGACAGACTCAAACAATGGCAGAGATTTGACATTTTATATTAGAGTTTAACTTAGCTGTCATCATTCTTTAACAGAGACAAATTGGTAAAAAAAAAATTATTAGAATTGCTTTCAAAATATATTTAAAACCATTTTTATTGAAAATGTTTTGAAAACTATAATAATAATAACAATAATAATAATATATTAATGTTCTTTTAAAATTAAAAAAATGTTTCTATTTTTAATCAGTATTTTTAAATATTAATTAGCGTTTGTCGAAACAAAAAAATTGAGTACTTAATTATTAGTATTAGTTAAAGTATTAATTAGGGGTTAGATATATTTGGAATAATTGGTGTGAAATGATAATAATTAAATGAATAATTCGACAAGTTTTATTTGGTTTCATTCATAAATTTAAAAAGTATTAGAATTTTAATTTTAAAAAAAATTATGGGGAATGAAAGTTTAAAGTGAGCCAGGATTATGGGAAACATATTAAATGGGCTAAAATTTTTGACAAGAGATCGGTTCACAAGATCTTTAGCAAAGTCATTGTGTTTATTTTTGTCTTCACTTAATTTTATTAATTCTGACGCTAAAAATTAATTTTTAAAATAAATAAATATATTCTTATTATTATTATTATTATTATTTTAATAAAAACATAACACGAATAGTATTTTATAATTTAATTACGAAAGCTTTAAGAAAGTTATGATAGTTACAAATAATAAACATAATATCATTATTTGATAAAATATTATTATTATTACAATTTATATTAAATTACTCTCATATAAGATTATTGATTAGATACTAACGAATTCCTCTTCTCTTAAATTACTCAAAATTGGTTTTATTAAATAACTTGTATTATTCAACTCACCTAAAGAAAATTAGTCACCTTCGAATGGGCTCTGAAGGTTTAATGCACACTAAAGAAAAATTGACCAGTCGATTCATTTTTCGTATTCTATGATTTGCCGACATTCCAGTGGACTTCAACTTGCGATCTCCGGTATTTTCGGCTCCACTTTTCCACCGCTACTTCCTGCCTTTTCAAATCCCGCGTGACTGCCATCTCCGGTTACCTGTTACCTCCTAAATGCTATGTTATTTTTCAAGCTTTATTACACGTGTCCTTTTTCTAATTTCTAAAATATTGTTTTTTTTTGTTGGAGTTGATATGAGAAGGGTATTTTAGAAAATCAAATATGAAATTGTAGTTATTATTTGAAGATTAATTAATAAAAATTGTAATAGTCTCTTAATTTGTTATGTAAATATATGTATTTTATTATGACTTATTATTAATTTTTCAATTAATAATTATAACTTATCATTTATTTAAAAATAAGTTTTAAATTTAAAGAGAGCCAAATATAAAATTTGGAGTGTTTATTTTAATAATCTTATTTGGACTAATCAATGTTTTTTTTCTTTGGATAAAATTTAACGTGTAATTGTTAAGAAGTAATTAATTATCACTATTTTGTTTGTATGGTTTAAAATTAATGCTAACAAAAAAATAACATACTATCACCTGGTGATTGTTTTCAAGTGCAAACTAATATATAATAGATTAAATGCAATTAATTAGTAATATAATTAGTAACGTGAGTTGAAACTAGTGTTATTAATACAGTTGCAAATGGTACAATTTACGTACCTAGTTATGTTATAATTATCTAGGTTTTTTTCATTCTTTAAATTTAAAAACATTTATTTTTCTACGATTACTGCTTCCTATTGTACATGTCTATGTTTTTACCAGACCAGAAAAACATAATCTCAGAAGCATTTAATGTATTTGAGGCACAGAGCAATTATTTAAACGCGTCTCATATTATACATAATATATGTATATAATAAGTTTATTAAAAATTTACGAAACATGATATAATATATTAATATTAGTAAATGCTATAAATTTTAATAAAAATTATTATATAATTTTTATTATATATAATTTGCATAAATTAAAAAATTAATTAAAAAAAACTTATACATAGACACGTATTATTAAGTTGCTCCTAATTCAATGTACTTAAAGAAGATGCTTGAGAAATATATTAAGTAGATGTTATTTAATGCCTGCCAAGCATGATTATTTGCTCAATAATAAAGGAAATATAAAATTAGGTTCTTATTTTTATTTGATTTGAAAAGAAATTATGAGTTATTTGTTTTGAATATATATATATATATATATATATATATGCTATAAAATTGTACCATTTTTTAATATTTAAAGGATTTTAAAAAATTTACAAAAATATGGAGATTTATTAGCAATTTTTTAATAAATTTAATTAATGACAAATTTTGAATTTTTATATTTTTATAATTTTTTAAATCTCATATTTCAGTATATATTATTTTTAAATATATAAAAAAAATTTACAATAAATATTAAAAGATATTTTTGTGTAATTTTTAAAAATAAATAAGTGTTTTATAATTAAAATAAAAAAATTAAAATTAAATAACATAGTAGCAATCAAATATAAAATACACAATATCTCTTTGACTGATATGTTAAAATGAAATTGATTAAAAATATAACGACACATCTCATTATATCATATGGACAAAAAAAAAAATTTACACAATATGAAATGCTATTAATTTCTCATTATAAAATATATAATATATTTATGTCAAACTAAAGAAATAAAATAAATTTTATTTAAACATGTAATAAAATATGATAAAATTAAGACTTTTTGTAAATATACCTGTTCACCAAAGTAAATCGAGGTAGTAAAATGAGAAAAAATAAAATGTAATTTAATAATTTCACTTATAATGAAATATTAAATAAATATATGTACTAAATTTCATTTTCATAAAAAAGTTAATATGTTTAGTATATTATAAAAATACATTTAAGACTTAAAATATATAATTATAATATCAAAATAATTAAGTCTTAAAAGGAGTCACAAACCACTTCCAAAATATTGAGGATCCAGTCATAGTCGTCATAATTGTGTTAGCCCTCTATTTCAGCCAACTTTTCTGGAGTCAGGTCTTTATCCTCCTTGAGATTTCTATAATCAGCCACAACCTCAACACCTGTTACTCGCTTGAAAGTGACTTGGGTTGATCTCCTAAAAAAATCGTGGTCATGAAAGGTAACAGTTCTTCGATGGATAAAGAAACTAAGGATGTGGTGAATACGACTATTTGTAGGATAATAAAAAAGGACGCTATAATCTATATTTATCTCTACAGTCATTAAACTATTTGGTTCATCATCATAGTCCATATTAAAATTGAAATGACAAAACGTTGATATTCCCTAAATACATGATTTAGTCTACAAACTACAAGGTGATCTACTAATCTATTTTGTCACGAGGTTCCACCATCCTTATCCCCTGAAATAATTTAATAAGGATGAGCTTATTTTCACATTACTACACATAATTAATACTACTTTCAAGTAATACATGAATACATAACACATCAACAAATTAGAAATAGCAAGTACATTCCATAGAAATTTCTCATGCATACAACACTCATTAATATTATGATTTCATTCTATTATTATTATTATTAATAATAATATTTCTAAGTCCTTATCTCAACTAAATACTATCCCTGGTAGCCCTTGAGGTCTTCCTGAGTATATATAGTTGTTGGATAGCTACAGCAACACGAATATAATATGTGTCGACCCAACTCCTTTTAGCAAAAATCATGGTCAAGAGTTTAGATCAGGAAACGAGTGAGACTTGTGATGTTTTTACTCTCATCAGTTATGTGCAAATTAAAGAAAAACATTCATCACTCTCATTTTCTTAAGATTTCCAAAATCGACGTTATCTTCCACATTCTTAGTGTATCTCTGAATTATTCATACTTATTCTTATGATTTTTCCTTTCTCATCATCATTTCACTCTTTCATATTTCTCATTATAGTTTCTCTCTTCTTTTTTCCTATTCATATCATAAATTTATCACTTTCATGGTAACACATTTTTCATCCTTTTCTATTTTTATTTTATTCAATTCTACTTTTACATCATATGTCCATCAATCATGCCAAAGGTCAGATACCTCCATGCTCACTCCAAAATGTACATATTCAATACCATATATAACTCAAGTCATCAAGAACAAGAAAACATATTTCATCAAGTAACTAAATCATCATTAGTTTCACTCAAACATATATTTATAAACAAAGAACAAACAATAATATATCACAAGAACACAAAATACACCATGTTCTCAGTAATGGGAAAATGGAACTCTCCTTATCTTAAGATGAAAGTTTAGGAAGGGACTTGTGAATGATCTTGTTTAAAGAATTGATTTCTTCCTAAGTATCATAAAAAAGAGCATTTTGAAAAATAAGAAATAGAGAAAACAAAGAAAAATTGGAGAACTAAGCAGCAAGAACTTACTTAGAGTCGATTAGGTGAACTTCCAAGTCCAGATTCGAAGAAAAATTGAGATTTTGGGGAGGTTTTTCTAAGGAAAAGAAGTAAGAAAACAAAAAGAAGTGCTTGAAACTTAGATTGTAATCCAAGTTTTTTAAGTTGAAAATCCTTATATACTCCTCAACTCGCGACATTCTTGTTACAACAAAAAAATCAAATACTATTTTCTTCTTGGTATCTGTCATTCTGGCTATAGGGAGAGAATCTCTCGCTACAACAATAATTCTAGTTGCAATGAGAGTGTTGTTGGGTCATTCTTATCCACTTCTTGTTACAATGAGAAGGCTTTAGAGAGTTTGACTCTAGATGATCTCTATTGCTACAACGAAAAATCTTACAGCTTACATACTTTAAACTCTCCTAATTTCAAACATGTATAAACAATTAACATGAAATGCAATAATAATAAATAACAAAAATAAGGGTGTTACATAATATCTCTTTTATATCATAAACATATTTTTTATATTGTGATGATTTATTTTAATACATCTAAAATTTAGCTTTATTTATTTCTAAAGAATATAAAGATAACCTTGAAATAATAAATATAATTTAATATAACTT